GAGTGGGCAGGCGCCATGGATGGTGTACACTGATAGGGGCAGCTGGAGGAAAGGGGGTCACATATAATATGGGGTGCCCTGGGTCTAGTCTACAAGAACATGGTCTACAGCAGATGGGGGGTCTATGGATGGAATACACTGATATGGACCTCTGGGGGTTCTATGGGATCACAGAGGATGGAAATGGGGGTGTCACATGTATATATTATGGGGTGCCCTGGGTCTAGTCTATAAGATGATGGGTCCTATGGACAACATACACTGATATGGACTTTGGGGGTTCTATAGGAAAGGGGGCCACATATAGATCTATAATATGGGGTGACCTGGGTCTAGTCCACAGGGACATGGTCTACAGGCAGATGGGTTCTATGGACCTCTGGGGGTTCTATAGGACCACATTGTAAAGGGAAAGGGGGTCACATGCATATATATATGGGATGACCGGGGTCTACGTTAAAAGACAGCAGATGGGGGGTCTATGGATGGAATACACTGATATGGACCTCTGGGGGTTCTATAGGAAAGGGGTCACATATAGGATATATAATATGGGGTGACCTGGGTCTATTCTACAAGGCGATGCTGTACAGCAGATGGGTCCTATGGGCGGCATACACTGATATGGACCTCTGGGGGTTCCCTAGGACCACATTATAAAGGGAAAGGGGGGGTCACATATAGATATATTGGGGGACCCGAGTCTCTTCCACACGGATGTGCCATGTAAGGAGGAGATTACAATGTATCATCTACACAGTAACGGCAATCGGGTTGAGCAGAACATCCTGTGTATTCATTACACCTGGGGGCAGGTAGGTGGCTGTGCGGACAAGGAGGACACGGTATAGGTGAGCACCTACTGCGGGCAGGTAAGGGGGGCAGGTCAGTCTAGTAGAGAGGGGTCTATTGATGGGGGTGACGGTGGACAGCTATAGGTCAGTATCTTTTACTGGGGTAGGTAGGTGTCTCTCTGCCAATGAGGGGGGGTTGGGGGTGCCTTGTTTATCATCCATGGGGAAGGACAGGTAGGTGATAGAGAAGTCAGTATCTTGTACTCCATGGGGAAGGACAGGTAGGTGTCTCTCTGCCAATGAGGGGGGGTTGGGGGTGCCTTGTTTATCATCCATGGGGAAGGACAGGTAGGTGTCTCTCTGCCAATGAGGGGGGGTTGGGGGTGCCTTGTTTATCATCCATGGGGAAGGACAGGTAGGTGATAGAGAAGTCAGTATCTTGTACCGCTCCCGGGTAGGTATCTCTCCACATGTGAAGCAGGTAAGTGTCCATTAGGAAGATGATGACAGGTGTCTCTACCACAGAAGGGGGCAGGTTGGTGATGTCTATGCCAGTGAAGGGGGAGGGGGGTAGGTAGTTGTCTTTGGGGGGTAGGTAGGTGTCTGCGAGTGATGGATGGTGGTGGGATCGGCCATGTGGTCACAGCGGGGACCCCGGATACAGAATACGGATGAGTGCAGGTAGGTAGCAGGGTGTGTATGACGAGAGCAGGTAGGTACTCACCAGGGAAGTGAATAGTCCTTGATCTCTCATGCTGCGCCCCTTTAATAATCCATCGATTGATCAGCTCCGGCGCCGTCCGGTCCCCCCAGATCTGATCGCCTCCCCGAGCATCCCTCCATCCTCCGGCTGCTCCATCCCTGGCTTCTATGTGGAGGCTTTAACCCTTTCAGTGGCAACGTTTCCATCTTTTAACCCTTTTGCTGCCAGGAATGGCAGCTGCAATATTTTATGTTGCACGAGCTACTTCCTGGACTGAGATCCCGGCTCAGAGATGACACCATCATGTGAATCCCGGTGCCTGTGCAGCTAAACACTCTGACACAGATCAGCCCCCTGCTGCAGCCTCTCACCTTGCAACTGAATACAAAGTTACAATGTTGCAGACTGATCACTGGGGGAGGGGAGACTGAGGAAATGCGTCATCCTGCCTGCAGCAGACTGATCACTGGGGGAGGGGAGACTGAGGAAATGCTTCCTCCTGCCTGCAGCAGACTGATGACATCATCTTAGCCCGGGCAAAGCCACTGACTGCATCTCCAGGATGGCTTCTTTAATGCTAACATGTGGAGCTTTTCTGAACACTGATGCCGCTGCTGTTCCCTCTCCCAGCAGTGACTCAGACAAAGACATGAGAGCTTTTGCTGTGAACTCTGAGGATGAATTGCTCCAGAGTGCGTGCTGCTACAGAGGTCAGTGAGGACAAAGGCCTAGTCACTCCCTGTAGGCGTCCTGCAGCTGATCTTTTCCCCATTACTGACTTAACCCGTCTTGTTCTGTGTCTCTGAGTGGAGGCGGCCATCTTGGTAGCGGTGAGATTTGGTTGCCCCTGTGATGACTGGAGGGGTAATGATGGAGGCGGATCCATAGAACGGATGAAGCAGGGAGATCCTGGCACTGCCGGTCCTCGGGTACGGCTTCCTCTCCAGCAATGAGAACAGAGAGCAGCACAGAAGTGACATCACCAAACCTCACTATTATTACTATTTTGTATCACAAGATATCATTATTATTAATACTTGTGCCGATACTCAGCGCCGATACCGGCCCTGTACATTTCAAAACAGGAGCCGTGAGGTCCTGTGCTTGCTGGGGATCTCAGGGCAGGCTGCTGGGGACCTGCGGTAGCTGACGTTTTTAGCGCCGGCCTGGCCACACATGTCCTCCTTCTCGCTGCCCGCAGCCATGGTGAGACCGCGCACAGCCCTGGTGAGACCGCGCACAGCCCTGGTGAGTCAGCCATGGTGAGACCGCGCACAGCCCTGGTGAGACCGCGCACAGCCCTGGTGAGACCGCGCACAGCCCTGGTCAGACCGCGCACAGCCCTGGTGGGGAACACAGAGTATGTGGCTTCATATTATTCTGCATTGCTGTATAATGTATTGCTGGGATTTGTAGTCCTCTATAGCTTAGAGTCAGTGGCATAACTCCCAGGTTTGCAGCTGGGACCGGGCCCCGGCGCTCCACCACTGTCCTGAAATCATTAGTCTGCATTGTTTTAGAAGGACGGTCACATGACACTAATACAGGTATCGGTAATTGGTATCGGCGAGTACTTGAGCAGAAGTATCGGTATCAGTACTCGGACTGGAAGAAATGGTATCGGGACGTCCCTATGATTTTTATTGTTTTACTAGAAGATATTATTACTATTTTTGCTATTGTATGACAGGTCTGTGTCGTGTTTGGCCCCCCGGGGCCCCGTCTTTGCTGGGTTCCCCCCCCCCCAGTGGGAACAGTTCCTCTCCATTCATATTACTCGGGTATATTTTATAATTGGCTCTTATACATGGGAAGGAGGAGCGGGCAGGTTATCTATGAGGGAGCCGTGCCAAGTGGCAGTACCAGGGTGCATGATGGGAAGCGGCTCCTCCGATGCCAATAAGCGGTATTAGAGGGAGTGTTATCATCGGAGGTTGTCACACGAGCTCTGCACTCTGGGCTCTGCATTCTGCACTTTGTTCTCTGGGCTCTGCGATCTGCATTCTGCACTTTGTTCTCTGGGCTCTGCAATCTGCGCTCTCTCTGGGCTCTGCACTCTGCGATCTGCATTCTGCACTTTGTTCTCTGCGATCTGCGCTCTACACTCTGGGCTCTGCACTCTGGGCTCTGCACTCTGGGCTCTGCACTCTGGGCTCTACGCTTTGGGCTCTGCGATCTTGGCTCTGCACTCTGGGCTCTACACTCTGGGCTCTTGGCTCTGCACTCTGGGCTCTGCACTCTGGGCTCTACACTCTGGGCTCTGCGATCTTGGCTCTACGCTCTGCGCTCTACACTCTGGGCTCTTGGCTCTGCACTCTGGGCTCTGCGATCTTGGCTCTGCGCTCTGCGCTCTACACTCTGGGCTCTGCGCTCTGGGCTCTGCGCTCTGGGCTCTGCACTCTGGGCTCTGCGATCTTGGCTCTGCACTCTGGGCTCTGGGCGGGAGATATTATCGTCTCCCAGCGGCCGGCAGGAGGTGTGCACGCCTATAGGGGTGCCGGGGATGCCTAATCCTGGGTGCTGCTGGCTGGTCTCTGCTATAATGTGATCACTGCACC